GATTGACAGATTTTTCAATTATCCACGATTTTTTGCATCACTCACTGTGAAAGTAATTATAAATTTGAAAGTAAAAATGATTTAGAAGAAGGAAAGTAAGTGACACTTTACTCTTTTCTTTATTTCTGCCTCTAATTGTGACAGTAATTGCATCAGTAAAAGCAATTTTTAATAAAGTAATATAACATAGTGATAAAATGGGTCCGAAGTATTCGAAATAAATTAAGTTTAATTAAAATAGTTTAAGATTCACTGCGGGAGATTCCCATCTGGACTAAATGTAAACACAGATTAAATGTATTTCTTGAAACTGAAATCAAACTGAAAAAATCAACTGAAGCTAACCAATTGAATCTAATTTGTAGATGTAAGCAATTGAATTGTCAATGTTACGAATCTCTTTCCGGAAGATACATTTGAAAACATCAAAAAGCCGACAACTTTTTTCCTTTTATTTTTTGTTTTTTGATTCACTCAATAGTATGCAAATTTGTTTGTAAATTTACCCTAACATAAAAGACAGACTGATCTTTGGCTGCCAATATATTTTCTAGTCGCCACTATTGTGAGAGGTTAGTTTATTTCAAAAGCTGTAGAAAAAATCCAGCCAAACTACAAAAGGATGGATGCAATCTTCCGATAGTTTTCCGGATCAAAATAAGGCAAGCAATGGGTGGATCGAAAAGTTGCCGATTCCGGCTAGTGCTATTCGAATGATTCATATGCTACGATCTGTATTAGCGAAAACGAATGAGCAGAATAACAAAATAGAGCAAATAAATAAATGAATGAAAATATAAGCAATAAAATAAGAAAGATTACGCTAATTACAAGTTCCACTGTCACATTTGACAAATATGCATCAAAACTAAAATTTAATTATTTCTATTTAGTGGGTTTTTACGTCATTATTGTGTTTTAATTTAAGAAGGAAATACGTGCATGTGAAATTTTATAATATACAATGATGTCAATGACGAGTTCAATGTTGACATTTCATTACGATTTTTCTCGGAAAATGTGACATTTATTTGTCTTGTTGAAATATGCAACTCCCCCGCACTGATTTACTTCTTTTTCATATTCAAAAGATACACGTATTTCAAATAAGTATGAATGAAATTATTTGTTATTTGCATATTTCGATAACTATTCAAAATTTTTTTTCCATAATATTGAACGCATTTCATGGTTTAATCAATCAATAATAATGTGATATCATCTCAATTACACCCACATTTTATGCAAAAATTCTTTCAGTTTCAATACTGACAAAACATGGGAGGAACAGTTTTTTGGGGTGAAATTGAAGAAAATGTGGAAAATATCTGCGGTGTTATTGATTATGATAAGCATGCATTCTTTATAACATGCACAGAAGATGAGCCGGTAGATCGCGAATATACATTGCATCAAATTTATGACGACAAAGCACCTGATACCGTACTTTTCATTTCCATTTTTAAGTCATAAAAATTTTGTTTCAAATATTTGATGGAAGGAACAAGACATCTCAATCTCTTTTGAATTGATATCATACAACTACAAATCAAAATTTGAATTTTTTCAAGAAACTTTACAAAGTTCCCCTAAATTAATTGCAGTTTTTTGATTCACTTTATTAATTAATTTTTGTTTATGTTTCTCTTTGAATGATAAATAACTTAAATAGGTCACATTACTTCAATTTCCGTATTAAAAAATTTATAGGTAATGCACATGTTAGTTGCAAGACATGATAAAGCAAGTGATCGGAAAAACACAGCCATACACCGAATTGTCAAAATTTTAGAGATGACCAAAGGTCGCTCTGTACATTTCCCAAAAATAATTTGTTATGGCCGTCTCAGAAAGGTAAAATTTATTAGTAATTAGCAAGATAATCAAAAATAAGGAAGATAAAATATTTGAAATTTATAAATTTTTGGAAAATTTGCATATTAAATTAAATAATTTGTAAAATAACTTTTAATTCCAAGAATCAGTTGCTATTAGATGATATTCGGTGAAAATGGCGATCAAGATGCTGAACGAGATCCGGAATGGATTGGACGACCATGTGCTATTCTGGAATATCATGCAACAGTGGTGGGCTCACTGTTATCACTATCACCTACTGGCACTGTTCCATTGGATCTAGCACTGGTCATTATGATGGGATGTGTTCGAGCCCTTGCATCACTTCATCGGCTCGGTTATGTCCATCGTCAGGTCTCACCGTATAGGTATTGCAATTATTTGGAAGTGATAAATGATAGCCGATTAAAGCTATTCTCTCAATTAATATCATGAAGAGAGACAAAATTTAATGCATGTAAATATATTAATTTTTCGACTGAATACAATTGCAGTTTTGCATATCGTAACCCAATCTCGTATGATTCTGTCGAATCACGCATATTAATTATCGATTTGAGCCTAGCTTTGCCATGGCCTTGCAAACCACGTATATATGTACCATTTGTTGGTACGATTCGGTACAGCTCTGTGCGAGCTCATCGAGGTCGTGAACAGGTAGATGATATTCCGATGGGAATTATTCGATTGAATAATCACTTCGAGGGAAAGATACATAAGAATTGCAAACAAAAGCAAACGAATCGAAATGAAAAAAAAAGTTCTGAAGGAATAGATGATATTGCAGGGTCCATCAGATGATATCATTTCCCTAATCTACATGATTGCTGAATTAATCTCCGGTAAACTACCGTGGCGTTCAGTGTTTGATGAAAAGCGGGTATGTGATATGAAGTGTTTATTTTATCGAACTATTGAATTTAAACGACTTCCCAGAGAAATTCGATCCCTTTACAGGTAAATACTAACTTTTAATAGATAGGAATAATAATGCTTATTATTCGATCATTTAATCAATAAAGCCATTTGCATGTTAATTGATCATTTATCATTATTCTAAATGAGAAAATTAAGCTCGAAATTTTCTTTTTCTCTAAAAATTTCTCGATTTCTTCATACCATATATCTCTCCCTTTCTTCTTACCTCTTGCATATTTACATCGACATATGCCTTTAATCACCATATATGTTATCATAGGTATCTTTACAGATTAATGTATATGACATTGTCGCCTTATCCAATAGATTATAAATTTATTATTGAGCAAATTCAAGCAGCTCTAAATCGTCGTTATCCGAATTATAAACATGAACTTCCATCATGGCTTGCTCTGCCGATTGCTGAAGAATAATCCTGTAAATGTATTATCAATTCATCATTATCAGTCCATCTTTCCACAATTGTTCATCCATTCAGTCTATTGCTTCATCAATCATATCATACCTTTTTCAATGTATGAGAAAAAATTCTGTTATACCATATTTCATCTATTTTTATCACTAAATTAATTAACAATTCTCTAGAATGAAACAATATCTCTTATCACCTTTTATCTTCATATAGTAATTATCACATGAAATGGAAAAGGAAACAAACAAACAAGCGTATTTCTTCAAGAATTTCTAGAATTATTTTTTATTATTTCCAGTAAATACGTAAATTTGTAAGCAAATTTACAATGTTAATAAATATATATTCAAAACAAAAAGTGTAAAATAATGAAAATTTTGAAACAAAATTCACAAATTCATTACTGAATACTTCATTATGGGTGTTGAGAGTGGTGGGAGAAGAAGAAAATACAGTAATCGTTATATATAACCGGATTCGAAACGTGTCATCGGACAATGGTCACACTCATTTCCGTTACCCTGAAGATATTGCTTATATATGTGAGAAATGTCATTTTAATCTTTATTGTCACAGTTAATAAGCATTTTTTCCGACATTGTCTACAGACATATGGATCTACTGGATATCGCGATCTGATTTTAATATCTTCAGAAGGAAATATCCCATTCTCTTCATGATGAAGTAGCTAAAACGTTCGACTACTACTTTTTGGCCATTTTTTTCCCCCCACATATATCCCATTTATATTATTTCAATTAATTGAATCAAAATTAATTAACAACTTAATACGACCTTTTATAACAACCTGTTATTCTTTTTTGAATAAGTATGGCGCTTAATTTACAAACAGAGAAATATTTGCAAAATAATGGACAATTCAATATATTACCTGTGTAGAGGTATTGGTATCAGATGAAGGTATTATTACCTGGTTGTTATTCAGGTTACATTGGCCGAAAGCATAGTAATTTTACATCTCTCATGCTCAAAAATAGCGGTTAAAGTTAGAATTCGGCAAGAATTCCATGCGCAAATACTACAATGTTTAAGAACTTCGACTTCAAAATTTCTGTTGACAGTATGGCATAAATCATCAAATTATCTTAGACATGCTTTTGATCCAGCAGAATCTCGGAAATAGTTCTCAACAATTCGTGGAAAACTTTCCTAAGAAAATCGGAATTTTAGTTTCTGTATTAAAGCAGTTGTGGTAATTGATCCGGAAAGTATGTTACATGGTGATAATGAGTTGATTTTGATTTCTAAGCAAACAGTTCTTTTTTGAAATTTCTGATATTCGTGATAACGGATAACAACCGATAGCAACATGGCGATTTGGGAGAAAAGAAACTGACCAATGGTCAATATACCATTGGTATTTAATGATACCAAATTATACCAATTAACGAATAAGCTCTGATGGACTTATGGAACCAGTTCGTAGGTCTCTACTCTTTTTGAATTAACGATTTGTTAGACTTTGGCAGATTGAATTCGAAAAAAAGACTTTACTTAATTTATAATATGTTTGAATTTAAAAATATATTTGAATTTAAAATTTTATTTTGATGAAGGCATTTGAAAGACAAAATAAAATAAAGCACAATTACCTGTTTCCCCACGTCCATGAGAACCAGGTACTCCTGGCCGTCTTGGTGGTCCTGGTGGTCCTTGTAGACCGGGAAGACCCTAAAATTCAAAGTTTTTATAAATTAACGAAAAAAACTACGATCTGACTATGAACATTATTATTTGCGTATATGCTCTATTGAAGTTAACGAACAGGCTCTGATGAACTCACGTATCGTTGGCCCTGGCAGTCCATCTTTTCCATCATCGCCCTTCTTACCATCAGGTTCTGGTGGACCAGGCAAACCTGGTGGGCTAGGTGCTCCTTTCTTGCCAGGCATGTAATGAATCTTTCCTGGCTGACCTGCTTGTCCTCTCAATCCAAGACTTCCACGAGGTCCCGTTTTCCCGGTTTTCCAGGGAATCCGATTAATCCTGCAAAGGAAATCTCATGAATTAAGTAAGTAACATTTAAATAGAATTCGTAATTCTGATGTGAACTTAATTAAAAGTACCGTCAACGCCATTTGGTCCATCAACGCCTCGTATACCACGTTGACCAGGAATTCTCTTTGGCTCTTGTAGACCAGGAGGACCAGCTGGTGCTGGTGGACAATCGAAACACCATTCTTGATAGCGATAGTTTAGTTCTTTCATTGCATCTGGACCTCGTCGACCATTTTTACCCGGCAATCCATCAGCTCCTAAAAGAATTTTTTTAATAATATTGATTTTTTAATGTAACAAACCTACTAGAAGCTAATTTCAAAACCTGGATCTCTTGGTGGTCCAGGTAATCCTACTTGACCAGCATCACCAATCCCACAGCTACAACATACAGGACAGACTTCTATTTGTGGTTGTGGTGCACTGGGATCCAAATACGGACTTAAAACATTATAGAATAATGCTTCCTTATTATTATTTGGTGAGTAGTACGCCTGATGTCGACTGCGCCTCGAACGTTGCTCCCTGATGTTTAGCATTTGAAAATATGAAATTTAAAGTCGAAGTAAATTGTTTTCAAAAAAAAAAAAAACGACTAACCAATTTTATCGATTTACATCTACTTTCCTTTTTTGTCCAAAAGCTCATAATGAACGGATCTAATTCCCAAAATTTAAGCTAAACAGTTCCATCCTTCAATTAATAATATTAATTAAAAGCTAACCTTCTCAATATATGCATGTTCCTTCCACATATTTCTGGAACGCTGTTGACAAGATTCAATTTCGTGTGTCATAGTTGTGATGTAGCGGTGTCACAATCATGCTGCATATTATAGCTATTATATTGAAATTTGAAATTTCTTCCTGAAAAAGATGTGAATCATTTTCATTGACGATGAAGTGTGACAATTAGTAGTCCACTGATACCTTCAAAAATTTAACCCATTATCTATTATAAATACACTTTTTTTGCACTCGATTTTAAGGCAAAATTAAAACTTCCAAGTTTAACAGATAAAATGAGTAAGAGTAATAGCAAAAATATAAATGTCAACAATTTACCTAATAGCGACACCAAAAAGGACAATTTTCTTCTGACATTCAGCCTGTCGTTCTTTCATCAGCGGCATTGTCGTGTTTTTGTCTCGTATGATTTGCGAAAAATCCTCACCGATGTAAAATATGCCGAGAAATTGCTAATCTCAAAAAAGAAATCACGGCTCAGTTTAGTGATCTTTGACTAGTGATACTACTTCTCAGAGAAAATCCTTAATAATATAGATAACTGAAAAAATCGTTTAAAAAACTCAATAATTCGAAATATTCCAGTAAAAAATTTTGAAAAAAAAGTCATTAAGAAGTGGAAGAATATTAGAAATGTATGAAAAGGGAAAAGTGATCATCATTTTTTCAAAGATGAAATGAACGATCTGATTTAAATGTGATCGAAAATCTAAATTTGGACAAAGTTATCCTCATTTCCTTTTATCTCATTAACGTCCTCATTTCAATAAAACTTAATTAATGTAGTCATTTATGATAGCTTTCAAATTTCTAATAATTTTTTCATACTAAAAAGTATAACTGTGGAAAATTTCATTACCTTATTTAAAATGAATTATTCATATTTATTGTCCTATTATTCATTATTGTTGTTTCATTTATAATTTTGTTGCAATGCAGCATTTTTAAAAGTCATTTCAATTAAAATTCAAATTACTTGGTGAAAGTTTTAATAAAATTATGGAAAAAAGCTAATATGATCCTCAGAACGGTTGTATGTTTGGATTCCGAACTGAATTCCGGCTGTCGCTGAAATAGCGGGAAGAAGCAGTGAATTAATAATTTCTTTGTTGTTGATTTGATACCGCTGATATGATATCAAGCGTCATTGAGTTTCCTTTCATGTGTTGTCGTTATTAATTTGTTATATTGAAGTCGTAATTGTCGAGTTCATTGTTGTATTAACAAATTAATCGTAATAAAGGTTTAATTACCCAAGTTTGAGGTACTATTACCAAAGAGGAAGAAGATACCCTTAATCTCTGTCACGGTTAAAAAAGAATTGGCGACACTGGAAGAATTGGCGGCACTGTCTATAATTACAATGAAATATGCACTTCTAATTTAAACGAACCAATCCAGTATTCCGAAATGTGCTCAGCAATAACGGATCAGCAACCGCATTTCAATTCACAATTAACAAAACCGTTGTTGAAAACTGCTACTAATATTCATCCAGAAATGAATAACAGATACTGAAACAAATTATTTATAAACAGTAAAAGTTGAAAGGTAACCAGTTCTCTTCAATTACGCCTTTCATGCATCATCTTATCAGTTGCGTCAGTCAAACTTCATTCCTTTCTTCATCATCTTTTCTAAAAATATCGCTAGAAATTGAGATATAGTTCAAGAGATACTTAGCAAAGAATGGATACAACTATTCTCGACAGGTTTTTTGATAAATAGATAAGATAAATGATTCCGCAACCAACAGTGTTATCCATTAACCTCTATTTTCGACGGTTTTTCGCTTCTTGTAAAGTCTTAATTTTATTAAATTGTTTTTTGTGCTTTAGGAAAATCAAAACTGTTTCTTTTTTTAATTCGCATTTGACAAGTAGAATATTTCATTATTCCAAGAAATATAGGACTTCATTATTTCACTTGCCATCATACAATACAATAATACAACATTATAAATTTGATTTTTTATCAGTCAAAAATCCATTTTTAATGAAATAAATCATTTTAAAAAGAAGTGAATTACCGATGGATAATGATTCCATGAAATAAAAAACTAAAATGCTTTTTTTTTGAAATTAAGAAAATATGAATTATGATATAATTTGAATATTGTTGATATAATTTAATGAAATTAAGAAAGCGATTGCAACACTTTCATTCTTGGTTTTAACATTCAGGAGCTTTCAACTTTCAGGTTTAACTTCCATTCTTCTTAAACAGGTGGTGAACTGAAAGTGAACATTGATAATATCTGAAAAAGACAATAAGGCAAAAAATGTTCGATCAAATAAATAGGATGAAAATTGACAGAATGAAGTCCGAAAAAAGTTGAACAAAAGTGGAAGGCTTTAATTAAGAATAATTGTTCCAAAGACAGGGCTCTTTTTTAAGAAAGATATGACAAATTGAATAAGTGCAATTATAACTATAATCGAGTAAAGATATAAACTATAAAATTTTTCAGTTCTGAGTTAGCCTATTAAAACAATTTATTGTGTGGTAATCTCATTGTTCTTTGAAAGAAATTGGATAACTAATGTTTAACCAAAATTTGCTTAGGCTTAGAAATACCGTTTGAATTGTCTATTTAACTTGCTTCTTCAGTATCATTCATAAAAAAGGAAAGCTTAAATGACGTTGTAATCCAGCATATCACATTGAATTTGGTAAATAATAATAATACAACTGTAATTCCAAACAATCATAATGCGCAGTTCTTTGGCTGATCATCTGATTTCTTAAATTTATTTTAAGTATTTTTTGGAACATAGAAAGGATTGTTTGGTTATATCACTACAAATCATTTGTTCCATTACAAATCATTATTAAATGCATCATACACTTAAAATTTTTTCCAAATTCAGTAAGAGTATCACAGCGAATAATTCGCATCGGCACTGATAAATTAAATGAAAAAAGCCAATGGAACATGTTAAACTGATGAAAGTCAAAGTTGACGAGTAAAATTTGTGTTCAAACCGAATATACTAAACTGATTTTCGAGTAAAATTTGGTACACAGATACAGGTATGGTACATACATGTTATCACTTTTACCTTTATTCTACTGGTCATAAAAATTGATTAGGAAACTTCGAATTAGTTAGTTGTAGCAAAATCAACTACTGATTAGGTCTTACAGGTACCATACATATTTACAAATAAGTTACTAAGTAACTGCAAACAATTGGTTAACGTTCCTCTCTTGTCCATCTTATCTCTTAACGATAGAAGCGACAAGGTGAAGCAGAAATTTCCTTCTTTTTGTTTTTCCTCTTATTAAGACTTATAATCTTTAGTAAAGTTTTAAAGATTAGTATTGAAAGAGTGCGAAAGAAACATTCCCAAAAAGGAAAAAAGTAGAAAGCTGGAAGAAGCCGCATTTGTATTGCTGACTATAACTTTAGGATAAGGACTTTATGAATATTAGTGACTATAACTTTAGGATAAGGACTTTATGAATATTAGTGACTATAACTTTAGGATAAGGACTTTATGAATATTAATGACTATAACTTTAGGACAAAGACTTTATGAATATTAATGACTATAACTTTAGGATATTTTATTTTCAGATAGCCTTATTCTAAGATTGTCATCCTTTAGCAAATACAGCCGCTACTATCCATTCAGATTCCGTAAGCGCCAAACCTCTACTTGATACTACTACTTCTATTTCTTTTTTTCTACTACTTTTCAACCTTCTGTTTTTACAATACTTAATATTTACCCTGTTAACCATAGATAGTTATAGACTTAGCAATAGTGCAAGTACATCTTACTTTAGTCTGTTTCGTTTTGTTTTTCTATCTTCATTGATTACTGTAGCCAAATGTTGGCACTTGTTTTGTGAAGGTTTTTTTAATCATTTTATCTATCATATTACATACTTTTGTTGTTTGTTTAATATATTGTTGAAATAGGTTCAAACAATAATCAAATTATCTGCCAATGAATTTTTGAAATCTTGCAAAAATTATATATTATTTTAAGTGAACTTAACAAGGAAACGTTATTAGCAATGTGACATATTATAATGTTTTTCTAATCGGTGTACTTCGATGTTTCGGTCTATCGATGACTATGAGAGAAGTGCTTCATGATTCCTATATTCTTCAGTGGTCAATTAACATCCGATCATCACGTCGACCTAATGCACACTTTGGTGTCAAAGTAAAGCCATTTCGCTAAGATGAGGATGTCTGGTACATTCGAAATCACGTCTGAAATATTGGAAACGCGGGAATAGTACGTGTTCATAATGTATAATGTAATTACGAAAAGAAAGGAAAGTACGGAAAATATTTTTCCCTTCTGTCCATTTTACTAAAACTTTGAAATATATAATTAACAGATGAAATATATAATTAACACAAACTTCTTAAACACCCCTATACTGGTCAAATATGATACGTAAGTGTTGGTGACAACTTGAAAGTAATGAGCATACAGATCAGAACTGAGTGGTAAATGTTCATCGCTAAATTATTATCTTTATCACGGAAAGAAGTCCCGAGAGAAATGGCAGGAAGGAGAAGGTATACATCCACTACATTCCATCTAGGCTTCTTAAAGTCTATCTTGAAGGAATACTATACGATTAACCAATATTTCCCAGACCGACTCCAACCCTTCTCCTCTGATAAACCACCGAGAGGTGAATCCAAATACATTCCTGGCCGATTGCGATCTATCAAAACTATCGCAAATCGGCAACATAACAGCTGGCAAGTCAATCCAATGCCTCTTATGGGACGCATTTCTTCTTGATTCCTTATCTTTTCAACCTTTGTCTCTCTTTTTTCCAAAGTATTTTCAAATCTATATGGTACCATTGTGAGGACATTAAGACACTTCCGTGTTGACCATGTAATTTTAAATTTTAATGATGTAAAGGAGCAGGAAAGGATAAAATATTATAAGTGGAGGGTGACAACATATACAGACACTTTTCATCTAAGTAATGTCATTATCATTTGCACTAAATCAGCAAACCTCTCATGTTATAGGATTGTATGAGTTGAAGAGCACTTCTATTTCTTCCTATTTACCTCTCGACTTAAACAAACAATTTCATTGTTTCAGAAATCAGAATAATTAGATGTACAAATTACCAAACGAAAGAATTGAAAAAACATGTGCGTAAAATTAATTTTTAGCGGGATGATGCAGTACTGGAGTGTTGAATTAATACTGGGGATATTTCATCGATTCACATTATATTCGACTATCTTTCTTTTCTTCAGGTTTATTGATTTTTCCACCAAAAAAAATTTGAAACATTCGAACGAAACGATGCGTGTAGTTGCAAATTTGACGACAATGTTCCGTGAGATGGATTTACTACAAAAGTACCCAATTAATTTATTTGAATAAACTTTTTTTCCAATTTCGCGTCTTCATGCAACATATCAGTTCGAGTTGACAAGTGGACAGTAATCGGTACAGAATTACTCAACATACTTACGATACTAAATTTATTTGTCCCAGAGCGCTTTGGTAACGAACAGCAGCGCTTTAGTAAGTGGAAAAAATTAATATCAATTTGGGACCAATAACTTTTATTTTGATTAGGAAGCTGTATTTAGAACTATCCTTTCTATAATTATCCAGAACAGTACCTGAAGATATGGGAAAGCAGCTGCACTTGGATTTCAACTTGTTGAAGTATCACTGCCGTATGAATGGTCAGCGGAGGAACTGCTACAACAAGCCGAACGTTATCACCTCAAACATGTCCTGATTAATGCACCCGCAGGTATTCTTTACCTCTTCACTTTTTTTCCCTCAATTATCTTTGAAGCGTTTTCCTTCCTCTCTCTTCTTTTTCCCAATTTTCTACCACTGGGCTTGATTTACGCTTGATTTCAGTGATGGATTTTTGGGTTAATCCAGTGCATCCGTTAATTATTTGCGATTATTATGAAAATTTGATTCTGTTTTCTCATATATGTTGCTTTCATAAGCATTGTTGCAGGTAATTGGTCTGAAGGCTTTCGTGGTCTTGCAGCTCTTCCGGAGCAAAGATCCATGTTTATTGAGTCTTTGAATATCGCAGTTCAGTATGCGAAAAAACTGAATGTACAAAAGGTTCCCTTGCTATGCTTGAAATCATTATCAGAATGTTCTGAAATCTATAGGAAATTCATATGCTTCCAAATCAATTACTTCTTACGTTTTTCACAATTTTATCTTTTTTCATTACGAATTTAGGTTCACGTAATGGCTGGTATAGCTGATCGAACCGATGAGAGTTACGAAGTTTATGTTAAGAATATTCGTTTGGCTTGTCAGCAATTTAGAAAGGTTAAAAAATGAATATAGCAATTGATGGCGTTTATTTTCTTATTTATCAAAACCTATTGGCAGAAATGCCTTAAAAATATGTATATGAATAGCACAGATTGAAGGCTAATTTTTATTGTCGTGCAAATACTTATTTACAGTTCTGGAGAACTGTATATATGCCCAGTTTTATAATGTTTGCCGTAGATAACGATATCAGGAATAATGTTTTTCAGGAATCAATAGTTTGTCTCATTGAACCAATCTGCGAAGCTGCTATTCCTGGCTATTTCATGAATTCTTATTCGAAAGGTGCAAATCGATTTTAATATCTTTTGAGTGTTCAGCTTCCATTAATTTATTTCTTGATCGCAATAATGTGAAACTAGAGAAATTTTGCTGTTACGGATTAATTTCAAAGACAGATAATGAAAAATATATTGCAGCTCTGAAAGTATTAAAGGAAATCAATGAACCGAACCTGAAGATCATGTTGGTGAGTACTGCGCATTTTTGAAACACAATTTTATATGAATTTGGTATTCTAAACCTACATTTTTTTCACTTTTCTTCTACTTCTATAGGGATGAACATCACTTTTTTGCAGGATCTGTTTCATGTTCAACAAATTTGTGGGCAGCTTACCACTATTATTGAAACACTGGCACCTTTTACAGGTAAGTAAATTCTTGACTTTGCTTACATTTTCTGAAATTATTATTACTACTGTTACTGCGATTATCTTCTGCTAAAGAATGACTAGTGTTTCTGAAGATGGTAATTTATTAAAGAATTCATTTTGCTGCACAGCCATTCTGGACAATTTTCCTTTTCGTTTTTAAATTCAAATCGTTAGGATATAAGAAATCAAGTTATTGCTTGGGCAAAAAGAACATGCAAAAGAAGAGGAGCGCATCATAGCTAGTGATCTCTTATTAGTTTTTAGAAGTTGAACTAGTGTTTACCACTTTCTGCTTGGTGAAATTACTAACCAAATTTCAGGACATGTTCAAGTGGCTCAAGTACCAGATCGTCGTGAACCCGATACAGATGGCGAAATAAATTATAGTTACGTGTTCAATATACTGAAGAAATTTGGCGATTGGGACGTCGGTTGTGAATATTTGAATAGTGGATGCGATGATCAGTGCCTCAAATGGGTGATTAGTTATGGTCTTACATTCTGACTGCGTTTATGTACTTTTCTAAGTTTTCCTCTCATGTTCTTATGAAGCTTATCGAATTTATATCTTAACATGCTGGAGCAACAATATTTGAGTCCTCACCTATTCTTGAACAAGGAAAAATCGTTGGAATAAATATGCAGTTAGAAATAGGCCGTTTCCCTGCAAGTGCTCGTTGTTATTTGTCTATTCAGTAGGTGCACTGTATCATCCAAATATTTTCTTGATTTTTTTTGGCTTTATTCGAAGTACTATCTATATTTCGAATAAAATTTGCTTTTTTTTTTCTAAAATTAAATCTGACTTTTCAACTCGTAGTATTTAATGGGTATTCTTTTTTTTTTGCTCTGCATTTTATTCATCTTTTGATGTAACAATTTTTTTTAGAATGCTAAATCAGTTGTATAAATGGTAAAAATCTGTCTCAGTTCCTTGCATCACAAAACAACAATTATATTTTTCAAAATCATTCAAATCCAAAATAAGTTCATCCAAGTTTTATAACAATACCAGTCATCTCAGTAATTTTTTTATTTAAACTGTTTGATTTCGATTTGTATACGCAATTCGTTATCCACATCTAATACTGAAAATTTAAAGGATTTTTCCCCATCTATTTTTGACTTATGTCCATAGCTCCTTTTTTCATTCAATATACCGATATTGTAAGAAGTTCAGTGCAACTGTTTTGTGTCGACATTTATTATTAATCACTTTGCAAGCTCTTATATTCTTTTTTGCTTTATTTCTTCATACTGCTTTAGTATTTCCCTGTTAAAATTTGATTTGTCAATCAATTCCAAGACTTTTTTTTAGGTTCGATAGAAATAGTGCTTGCTTCGTAGTTTATAGATGTTAAAAATAATTGCATGAATGTTATAAATGTTTTAACTTATTTTATTCTTTTATTATCTCTTGCAATGGAATTGGTGTGCTTTAGTTACATCGAGGTTTAATCGAAGGGATGAAGCCAAGAGATATTAAATTCAGAAAAAATTCTCCGCTGTTGCAATTTTCTTTTTAGGTATTTCTTTAGAAGATACCATTTTCAATCTCCCGCCTAACCGCGCTGTACTATCCATGTTATTTGGTAGATCCCCTCATTATATTAATATCTTTAGGTTTACGTTTTCTTTCTCCAAATACTTCCAGAAAATTGCTTGAATCGAAATAAATGTCATGTTCAACCATATTTATGTTCTTTACTTTTTGAAGAATTATCATTTCTTGTGAGTGAAGGGGAAAGATCATGAAGAGTGGCACCCTGTGGTGTTACAGAGTTTACGGTAGCAGAAATAGTAGGAAGACTTCATGAAATTGATCACTACAAGTGCAGAAAAGCGCAATTGGTATAATCTTTTTTTTAAATTACTGATAACAGATGAAATGATCGGTCAGAGCTAGGTCCTTTACCCAGTGACCGATTGTGTTTGCTTATCACTCAGACACAGCTCGGTACCACAGGGTAGATGAACAAGCTCAAGTAAGGGAAAGGGTAATTTGTTGTTTTCAGAGGTTTTTGATTCCACAATCAAAGATTCTTTTTTTTTCGCTTTGTGAAACATCGATCGCAATCTGAAATACGAAAAGTCATTTCAAAGTCTTTATAATTTTTGCAGAAATCCTGAGAAAATGAGTGACAAAGATTGTTTCTTGAATAAGATGATATCAGTGATGAGATTAAAAAACAGCAATCTGATGTTTAAACTTATTTTAGGATTGAAATTTGATTAAAATAAAAATACAGACAATGAAACGAAATCGGAATATAGGAGGATTCAATGGTCAGTAAGATGTAAGTATACAAATTAACTTAAAGATATAGGTAAGAATATTTATTTACATACATTAATTAATCTTGTAAGACTAAATTGCCTGGAATAGTTGCTCACAAATTCATATACGATACATCTCTTCACATAATATTAACGAAATATTGCTATTATAAAATGGATAGCAAGAATATAGTCTGTCGATTGTTAACATCATTCAAATTTCCCTTTATTAGATTTTTCCTTTGTACAATTCCTATTTTTCAAAGTTTTTTTTTCTTTCTCAACCCTTTACTTTTTTATAACTTACTTTAAAAACTAATATACGTATATAAGATTTACTTTTAAAATATAAGCAATTAATTGCTCTGACTCTTGATATCATTGCCATATTTTACAATCTGAAAGAGAATTAAAAAGAGACTTAGAAAATATAGCTAGAAAAAAAATATATGACTAGAAAATATGACAATTCATGGAAGATTTATTTGATCTATGTCACTTTTAATAGTGGTTTATGTCGAGAATGCATTCAACAACAATAGTCCGTTAAAAGGTTATAAAGCTATGAATGAAATAAATAAAAGTGCTTTGAAAGTAAGTTATAGATAGTAATTATAAGGTATGAGAAATAATTATTATAATAGTAAGTTCAAAATAATCCATTCACTTGTTGATTTTGATTTCCTCAAAGTGCGTTTTCTAATTTTGGCTTTAGAATAAATTAATTTTGATAATTTTAGTAATATTTCAGGATCTTAATTATTATTCAGTGTTTGTTTAATTTTTGAGGCTTACTTATGATGGATGCCAGATTACAAATCAAAATAACACTAATAAAGATTAGATTAGTAGAAGATGGAATACGGTATATCTGTTCGAAAAGGTTGTTGAGTATTTTTGAAGAAAGCGAAAATTAATGAATGGAGTTAATGGATATGAAGTGTTTTCAATCTTTTCTAAATCATGATGATTGTGAAGATTATCAAATTATACTTATTATCACAATGCGTAACATAGTATTGTAATGAGTAAAAGTAACAGTAAATATTTGGGAAAAGGAACAATTCGTAATGATTTAATGCTAATTTAGCATAATCTAAATTTAATAACATACTGGATAAGTGATTAAACTGAGTATTATTGAAGGATCAGTAATCAAGAATTTTACTCATAGTGATGAAAAAATGAAAAATGAATAACTTATTTAAGCAGCATGGAATTCCATGATGTTGTGCAATGATATATTTTTGAGCCTCAACCAAATCCATTCTGATATTATCAATTAGATGATTATATTATCAGTAGGTATTAGCACCAGATAGATCATATTGTTGTAAAATATAGTTTTCGATGGACCTTAATGTATTGAAATGTTCGTTATCACTACAACTATTATAGATGATAAAACTTTAATTACTTTAATTAACTTGAATACACACTAGTCACTTATCGTTTTCACAGATGAGACCATCAAGATTGTTTACGTTATAATAAAGACTTACATTAAAGATGTAGTTCCATTTGTAATTAACAACCAGCTAACCAACATCATCAAACATACAAACCACAAAACAGTAACTTCATTCTACAATCTGTCATATTATCACTCTTAAAGTCCAACCTCCTCGAACAAATCTTCGGAGTAAGAAAAAGAATAAAACTCCATTTTATATGCTAAAAAAGCAAGACTATTATTGACGCTTACATTGAGGACGCTGACAATATGATTACTGTAACGATGACCACAATTATGTGACAATGATGATTACTTGGTAGTATTAATAACCTTGGAATGAAATTTCCATAAGATATGTAATGAATGAATGGATAAGTTTACTGTAACAAGAGAAAAAATCAGTCATTTGCGCCATCTTTTCATTTCATGAAAAAATGCATAACGCAACGGATAGTATGGGATAACAGAATTTCAGTTTATTTCAATATTGAACTCGTGATATGAAAGAGCCAGAAAATGTGATTTGGGAAGGTTTTGCTCTGAGAAGAAATGGATTAAAATTTATTTATTTCTTTTTTGAATGCAATTTGCCTTCTCTTTCTCGAAACATCTCCTTCATTGATGCTAACCTTAATGTTTGCCGACTTTATGATTGTTTGAAGAACACTGTAATATAATGAGTTCTCTCCTCTCTCTCTCTCTCCTCTCTCTCTCGCTCTCTTCTCCC